CATCAATGGTAGGCAAACGTCTATTAATCGGTACCATTTAGGTCTTTAGGCAAAAATATGTGTCATTTCGTCTACACCAGATCGAGCTTAGTCTGTTTCGATGACAATTTCTGGCTGCTTACCGGACCCCAGCACAAAGTGCGAGCCAAATCGTTGCCCGTGCCCAACGGAAGGACAGCCACAGGAGGCATCGGGTTGTAGCCGAGAGAGTCCATCTGAGAGAGTATCCAACCGACCGTACCATCACCGCCGCAGGCCAGAATGCGCAAGCTTTTGATTTGTGCAAACAGTTCTAACCTGAACAGGACGAGGCAAGATTTGAGGGTCAAAAGTGACAGAAACCGAGTCAGTCCAATCAAGTATAGACATTTCTACATTCGAAGTGTGAATATTTAGAAAAAGCTTACAAAGTTATCTCCAAGAGGAGATTTTATCGGCCTAGATCACCTGAGGCATTGAAGGAATGATGAAACATTTTTTCACAAACAACCAAGTTGGCCCTGCAATATCACTAAATTCCGCTTGGCCTAATTTGGATTTCCTCAACACCCCAAATTTTACACAATTCGCCATTTTTACTTTGTCTTCCTCTTGAAAATATGATTCTCGAGACTACAAGTAGATCATTTATGTATGAAGTGTATAAATGTTACTTTTTATTCGAATTGTGGAGGACTTCTCCTATAACCTGGTACAGCAAAGCAAACCATCACCGTACTCCATCGCATCAACAGTTTCCAAACATGTTGTGCCGCCTGGAGGCTCGGCCTCAATAGCACTGGAATGGCTTTGTACACAAATTCATCGTGCTACAGAGCCTACAGCGCTGATGCCAATGATTCGATGTTGAGCTTAACATTTCGCCATATTCTGACATTCTTTTCTACATCCGAAAATCTTGACGCTCTAAAGACTGTCATACGAAAATGTATTACAAGACATAATGCATTTTTGGTTAGTCCTTTAAGAAGGAGATGAGGCAGAAATTATTGTTTCGGAAATAGGGTAGAAGTAAAAAGGTCAAAAAATTCTACCAAACTCGGCCTAATCACTGCCTACTGGCTCCTCTTTGAAGCCGATCTGTACTCAATCAAGATCGCATAAAGTGAAGACTGACCGATAGTTGAAGTAACCTGATCTCCAAAAGATATGATCATCCTCATTAACCGAGACTACAGTTTTAACCTCGCCTGAACTAGTCACATCAGCATCCCTAACGGGACTCGAATTCGGCTTATTCAGCTTATAAGCTCGACT